AATTATCAAAAAAATTCTCACAAAATTATCTTCATCGAAGCCGATGCTTTACATCCGGCGTTCAGTACTATTTCATATTGTTTTACAACACATGGTTTTAGCCCTCTTGTGGGAAACTCTTTAAAACAAACTTTACAGCAGCTACTTTTCTCAACAACTGAAATTTAGAATAGTGTGGTTAAGAAAAATATGTGAACTGTTTGCAATTTCAAATTAATATTGAAATGCACAGGTTTAGAATTTTCTACAGTGAAAAGTTTTCGGAACTTCAGTGTTCAAAAATGTATACAAAAGCTAGACGTTAAGAACGTATCCAATGAGCGAGTAAAGCGAGCATCGGATTGCAAAGCAATCCGAAATGAACTGCGAAAGCAGTTCCGAGGGCTGGCGAGCTCCAGCGAGCAGGGGGCGAGACCTCCTAGTGTTAAATAAATAATAAATAAAATAAGCTGATTTATGGTTTCGTTGATCTGAAAACGAATAAAAAATATTATTATAAACATAAAATATAAGTTTTGACTGTTTAGAGTTCGAAATAAAATAAAATACATTACTCAAAGCGAATGGTCATCAAAGAAACATATTTTTTTATTATTTAGATTTATTTCATTTTGCATTAAAAAGTTCGATTGTTTGGATACAAATGCAGTATTTTATAAATGCATCTCGTTTTTATAATTCATCCAATACATTGTCATTAGAAAATATGATGCATATTTATATTATTAAATATGAGATGAAAATAAAGCAAAAGTTTTATTTTCATATTTATTTTACTAAACTAATATCGTAAAAATAACCGTATAAATAATAGATTATTTGATTAGAAATATAATTATTACAAGTTAAAAAAATTCTGATATTCGAATATATAATAGCACACAAATAATCGAATATATAATATATAAATCGAATATATAATACCGACAAATATAATGCCACATTATGAAAAACCATCTTATTTTTCGAATACATTTCTGCAAACTAGTACGAGTGTAATTTTTTTTCTTTTTTCAGTTATTTTCAGTTAGGCAAGTGTAAGGAAATTCAATTATTTTTCTTATTTGATTTTTTTTAATTTAATTTTCATATGTTAAAAAATAAATTAAATACAAAAAAAGAACAGTTGTTGGAGATCTATATTTGTTGGTGATTTTTCGCTTGCGTTCTGCCAGCCGAAAAGTACCTATAGTTTCCAATGTTCAATAACTTTCTACAAATTACAGCATTATTGGTTATAATAAATTTTAATTACCCCAATAATGGAAATATATACTTTGGCGCTACTGCAATATGATCCTTTGGCGGAAAAATAAGTGGGTAATACCTAAAGTCACGCCGTTATACAAGTTACATTTAAAAAGGCTATCTAATAGTTAATGCAAACACTTCACTTAGAATTTTCTCTACAGATTATATCCGAAATTTTAAAATTGTGCGTTTTTATAGTTGAGTTCTAAAAAAGGTGAAGAACTACCAGAAAATCAATAAAATCAAAATTTTCCATTGAACTATTAATAAAATTTAAAAAAAGACGTTTTTGGAATTATACGCAAAATTACTGTGAAAAGACATAAGCACTACTTCCACCTAGTGGTGTCAAAGGATACTATACAAATTTTATTTTCAAATTATTCTTTAAGTTTAATAATTTACTAACACCTAATTTTATGACTTTTTGTGCGATAGTTGTTAAATTAAGTCAGTGGTATCATTTTTCTCCAGCTCATCCAGAAGCTAAAAAAGAATATATTATCTATAAGAAGATCTCGCATAGCTTTGATATTTGCTTGTATTTCGCCATGTTGTTTTTTAGTGCAGATCTTTTCTGTAACTAGTTCTAAATAATACAAATAAAGCTGAGACTGCAGGGTTGCTTATTGATGCATCAATGCATGATGTGTTAGTGTTATTTCAATGTGTCAATAAATATTTAATTCAATTTATCTACATTTAACTGACACTTATTTGCTTTAAAACTATAAAGAATCGTAAGACACCTTTTGATCGAATCGGGCATATTCAAAATGGCGGTAGGAATAGAGTTACTAGTTTTGTAAATAATTTTATGTTCATCAACTAAAGAATAAACAACTGTTTTATTTAAGTACCGACAACTATTTTTAACAGGCTATTGCAGATGTACTTTTTTGTTTATTTATATTCGGAGACATCGACCATTAATTTTTTAAGTTCTTCATCTGATTGGATTGCTGCCTGAACGTCTTCTTCTTTTATAACGGCAGCTTTTGCCGACTTTTCTCGCGCCTTGTTTCCAGAGAGTTCGATCATTTCAGCTGCAACATATTGTAGAACTGCTGTGAGGTAAATCGTAGCTTTGGGATCAACTTCGCCTTTACAGTATGCCTCCATTTTAGCTCGAATTTTCTTAAGGTCGAAGTGAAAGAGATTTTTACTACCATTTGCAGATCTTTTGCGCTTGGTCCCTTTCGTCGCAGTTTTCTTTTTAGATGGCATTATTATTTCTGATGAAGTACATCCATTTAAAAATTTTGATAAATGAGTATGAATTTCGTTGATTTAAGTTTGTTTGATTCGTTTTATGGGATTACTTTTTTCCTTATGAATCTCGTGGATTAACTCAACCGAAGTTAGGATAATTTTCGCGAGGTTAAAATGACATAGTGGCTGTAAGATATTATGTGCTTATGCGCATAGTATTTTTATAAAATAATTTACTTATTATATATCAGTCAGCAGATGGCAACGAGTAGAGTTTTGTGGCTGCCATGGTGATAGTATAGTATGTAAATAGTTTCTGAGTGAGTGTAAGATTATTCTTTTGAAACGGTGATGAAGTAATTTTTGTTGTTGAGTTAATAAACCTTCCCTTTTATTAAACGTAATAGTAAATATTTCTTAAATATTTGATTCGAGGCCCTTTGAGTTTCATTTGGGGTCCTTTTGTATTTTTTGACAGTGGCAATATTAATTGGGTACTTGAAACTCGAGAAGAAGTGAAGTGATTATGCCTATCTATGTGATATAAATCAGATTTTATTGGATACCTGTAAGCGACGTTAAACCTGCGTGTCGAAGCGAATTGGCTCCTGAATCGACGATTGCCACGATTTACCTAGTCACTCGCAGGCATCCAATTTTAAAGTGACAATTGTATAAAATCAGATGTTTTTATTTATAATTGTTCTAGCATTTCTAGTTCAGCAGGGGCTGAACTTGATCCGCAACCCAAATAAATCAAGTTTAGCCTTGGTTAGGCAAAATAACTGAAGCAGTTGTTCCTACTAATCTGCATTTATTCTGTAAAAAGAAATAATTCCTCGAAAAAAAGAAGAGCTTCTGTAGCTTAATTGGGCACCTGAAGAAGAAAATCACTGAAATCAGCTGGTTTGTGTACAACCAAAATTGCGTGTTAACGTTACAGTTGAATCATAGCATAAACAAATGCCGTCATTCAGCAGCCAATTAGGTTCGACCTCCACATCTGACGTCTCTTGCTTGTACCACTGATCGCTTATAAACAAGATGGCGTGTTTAAGTCGAGCTAAGTTTCTTCACATAAGTTAGAACATTAATTAACGTGGAATTCATTAAACACAACGCCGTATTGTACATCGAATTTGTATAAATATTCTTTCTCTTCTTCGTCGTCTACTTAACTTAGATTTATTATTAGTTTATGCATTTTATTGTAACAGTGATATATTTTTGTTTTGTGCACGTGGCAACTTCGATGCATAATTAGTTTGTTTATGTTCCAATTGACTTCGCGCCTGTTTCGTGTTAAGTAAAAAATACATTGTGAAAGAATTGAAATATTTGTAAAAGAATTTTTGTGAAAGAATATAAAATGTGCCACTTAAGAGAACTGATACTTGATGGGCTTGGATTACTCGAAATAAAATGGAAAGATAGTTCCTAACGTAAACAGAGGAGACGTTTCAACAACCAATCGGGATCGAGGTACCCACACTATGTCCCTTGCAGTTATCCCATTCTTTATTATTATTGTTTAGATGCAGATTTTTAAAGTGTCATATTGTGATTGAACTCTTTTTTTTATTTATATAAAGATTTTTAAAGCGCCATTTTGTTACAATCGTAATGTCTCTAAACCGGCTAAATGCTATAGTTCTAAATTCTTTAGCTATATTTTATAACAGTCATTGAACAGCCGACATAATTTTGGATTTATGATTACGAATGTTCAACTCCGTAGCCTTGTAATTTTGAACTCAAGCCAGGAGACAAGGGAACTCCTGGATCAAATATTGGGAGAAATTTCGCCTTCGCAGAGGACTTTAGGATGGAACTAACCCGCATTGGCCTTACGTGAAGAGGAAAACCTCCCACGGTTAACCTGATTGGAAGAGGACTCTAACTCATGATCCATCTAGCACTGAGGATATTTTACGTCAACATTGTGGTCGATGCGAGCCGGGTGCGTAATTCACATCGGCCAGTCCTGGCTGGGACTCGAATTCAGTTCACCTCATTTTAAGGCGAACGTTCTATCCCCTGGGCCAACATGGCTCTTAGCTGTATTTTTAAAAATATGCAACTTTGAATAAGGAAATATTGCAATTTTCATTAATATATTTTTATCAGACGGATTTAATAACAAATTTATGTTGCTACTAACTATGACAAAAGGCATATCATTTCTAAAAATATTTATAGACTTCGCCCTTTTGTCTATATGTTTAATGTTTAGTTTCTTTAGTATGTGTACTTTTGTTGTTATTTTATAACGGTGAATACGAAATGTTCCGTTAAGTTCAAAGGTATTTTTACCTTTGATTGTAGGTAGTTTTTTACTACCTACAATATTCATTTTATAAAAGTAACATACGGCCTATTCAAATAAATGAATGTTTAGGTTGCTATCATATAACGGTATCCACGAATGTCTAGGTTGTTTCAGATGAGTTTTCACGAGGCAATAATGTTTGTATATACGAACGTAGTACTTTCTAGTACCGTCAATAAATAAAGAATTAAAATCGCGAATCAGACATTAACGCATAAATTTTGTTTTGACTGGAAAAATTCGATCAAAAAGCGAAGTAAATTAATAAAAGGGAAGAGAGTATGATTGCGTATTCGAAATGAGATCAAACTATTCAGACGGAGTATTATCTATTCATTGAAATAAAACCATTTTGAAAATAATTAAAATAATTGCTTGTAATAACAGAAAAATGAAATAAAAAAATGAATGAGAATGGATTGGTAGGGGGCTCCAGCTCCTGTTCGCTGCACTCGTCAACCTCCAGAACGGCTTCGCAATTTGAGGTCAATCTCATTGCACATCGAATACTTAAGTATTTAAGTTTAGGTTCGTGTGTACTGGTACACTTTTTTTAAAAAAGAAGTTGTAAAAGTATACAACACATATATCCCGTAAAACCTTTAATTTAAAAGCGTTTCGTTCACATTATATACATTGTAATTTCATTTGCATGTATATATCAACGGTTCTCGGAAATTATTTTTGGAACAATGCGTAAAAAACAAAGAAAAAGATAAGAGAATAAACACAAATTCACAGTATAAAAGTAGGTAAAAATGCATTTGATGTACCATAGTCAAAAATATAAAACTATGTTGAAATAATTTGCAACGTATTTTTGTTTAATCTTTCTCTATAAAACGCACTCCCACTTATGCGTTAATAATTAAACAGCATTAAAGTAGAAATATAGTTTCGACATTAGTATGTTATCTGCATAAATTAGACAAAAATATAGAATAGTTTGTTTACATATATGAACTGCTCGTTTGTAACATTTCATTTTTGCATAACTTACAGGTAAGCTATGTTTTAGCTTTTCGTTGCCAATACGAGAATGAAATACATCGGTATCTTATGTAATATAGATGTTACCGGTATATATTTGCTCGGTATGCCTTACACTGATGTTTTTTTAAGGTCAAGTGCCATTGCCCGGTATACATTTGCCCGATACTCCAAACACTGACGTTTCTTCTAATCTATCGTCAGTAAGTATTAAAATAGCGAATAAATGTAATTATATCCACGAATAAATTAATATCAAATCGGATGTAATAAATATTTCGGACATTCACCAAAGCGACTATGTGATTGTCAACATTCACCGGTGAAAGTCAACAACCACCAATTTCTCTTATTCACAGTAACATGCACATCATTTACATAAAAGCCTCATCAGGACCTTTATTTCATACTTTGCCTAAATAGCATCCGACATTGTATAGAATGCCTAGGCATTTTATACAATGCCTAGGGAAAGTATGTAATACTTCTCACATTTCATACTTTTCCTAAAAACATCCGGCATTCTATACAATGCCGGCGTTTCATACTTTGCCGGTAACATAGACATTAAAAGTATAGCATGGTGGGACAAAAGTCTTAATTTTACAAAACAAATGTTAAGAATCAGAAAAATCAAGTTATCACTTTTATCTTTTAGAAAACAGACATGTTTCCGAAAAAGAACACCGATATTTAAAGGGTGGGGTGTTTCCGAAATTGAGAAAAAACTTCAGTTTCTTTTAACCATTGATAATGTTGTGTTTGTGTAACTCTTTGTAGTGATGTAAAAGTAATTTTATCTGTAAAAAGTGGTGCCCCGCAGTGGACTAATCATTAAGACACGGCTCCCAGCAGATTACAGAAGTCAAGCATCACAGGCTGAGGGTAAGTGTGCAGTAGCCATCTGGATCAGTCTGCGTAGGGTTCGAGGGTGTGTGGTATTGGTCCTCTTTAAACTGTTCTACCGTAAAGTGCTCGACTTCGCACGCAGGTCGTCGGGCTACCAAAGCGTAGGAGCCATCCTCTCTGCAGAGGATCAAAATTGTGATGGCATGTCTTCGGATCATCCTCAGGGATGTTTCCCAGACAGTCGGCAACTCTAGTGCGATGTAAATGAACTACAACAACAACTGTAAAAAGTGGTAGGTTGTTAGTACTTAAGTTGAGATTATACTTTCTAATGCGATTATAACTTTAATTTAAAAAGATATTCAAAATACATAATTTCAGAACAAAATGTGACTAATTTATCCAACTATAGAGATATCTAAGCTGACGTCACTTCATTTACCTGTCCACTGGGAATAAATAGTAATCAATAGATATAGATAGTAATTAATAAGATACATATATAAATTAGATACGTTACGGATAGCAATCAATAGGAATACGTTTCTATTAGGATGCGAGTGTGAATCGTACAATAGGAGTAGTGCTATCGACAATTGATTGATTTATTCCACTTAGTGATATAATTCAGCCTCTTGCTTGGACATCTCTATGACTAAAAAGAGACAAGTCTGTCTGTATGTGTGTCTCCCTTATAACTCCAGAACCATTTGTTCAAACGTCCTGAAACTAGGACATCGGGTGAAAGGTGTAATTTTAGCTCCCCATCCTAAAAATCGTTCAAAAATTTCAATTCGATTGTTTGAGAGAGACGCTTGAAGCATGGAATTTTCTCTTTAGTTTAGCA